TGTATTTATTTCGCCAATGTAAAACTCTTCCATCATCGCTTTTGCAGTTGCGCTGTGGCCCACATCCTCAAAATCATCTGTAGCATCCTTTCCTGCAAATTATCACCATTTTTTAAATTATTATCACGAAATAATTTGATCGTCTTTCAGGATCACTAGGAAGCATTGTAAAAATAATTCTTGCAGAAAATGAGTTCTTCGAAAAATGTACAAATATTTCGAGTTATAATTACCTGCAGGTTCATGGTTTGCAAAATAATCCTATACTTATAATTATGAAAAAAACAACCCAGTCAAAATTTATTCAGGTTTTATTTATCAAATGGCAACTAGAAATCAGATTCTTATGCATTCACAGGATTGTTGTTTTAACCACCACACCAAAAATTAGAAAAACATAATTTTGCAAATACATCCTTTCTTGAAGAATACTTTTTAAGCAAACACAAATCAAGTAACTGGTTTTTGTAATTGGAGGGTCTTTGTAATTTTAAAGTATTATAAGGCCAAACCTATAGGTTTAACAAACCCCTTCAAGAAATTACAGACGAAGTAAAAATTTACGTCGTTTAAGTAGAAATATAATCCGAAGAACTTGCTTAGTTATTACCCGTTGAGGACACCAAAACTTCATCACCACCAGGATGATCCTCTAAGAATTTAGTAACATCATACACCTGTTCAAGTGTAGACAAATTCAAGAAAAAGATTCAAGGTCGTGACTGTCGGAGCAAAACTAAAAAGATGATGCAAATTTGATGAACTACTTATGTGTACCAAAATGATACCTTAAATACATGATATAAAGTATTATATTTTGTTCTATACAACTCAAGAGGAAAAGATACTGAATATAGTGAAAGTGTTTCCCTTTTGTACTTAACAAAATGTTTGATGTTATGTATGTTATCTGAATTTTAAGAAAATGTGAGTTCAAATTAATATAACAATTAGAAAAGAATAAAAAAGGAAAATCACACATAAGAAACAAATTTAAGTTGTGTTATTTGATCTAGTCTCTCATACAAACAAATTTCAAATAAACTTTTATACGATGAATTAGGGAACAACAATGGAAAATGAGGAAAAATACAACAGTATTCATATGGAACCCAACACTTAGGCGGGTCCGAGCGGTAAGGGCCACTATAAAACAATAATAAACACATTTAATTCTTCTAAAATTGTTGCGACGAACAAAAAAATTAAAGCGAAGTTCGTTAGCTGTCATGAATATACATAGGTGACCAGTATCTGCAAATAAATGTTCACAAATCATAATACAATCCAGACGATCAACAAGAACCGAAGCAGAATTTCAGAGTAGCAACCATTGAGTAAATGTTTAATAGTTAAGAAAAATAATGTCATGGTCTCTCTCTCTCTCTCTCTCTCTCTCTCTCTCTCTCTCTCTCTCTCTCTCTCTCTCTCTCGTGTAGGGTCGAACTAAGCACTCTGAAAAGCAAGAGTTGCATCATACACAATATAACATAAATAGAACAACTTTAGGCTTTAGCCTCTATTCTTGTACCAAAAAAGAAAGTAAAAATAAATAAAAGAACAACTAAATTTATGAAATTTAAGAATATACAGTAGTAGCAGACATAAATTTTATTGAGCCATTGAATGGCACGGCTTGTGGAGCCATCATAGTTATTCACAAATGATGTAGTGACACATGTCCAATGTTTATTTATTGCAGGACACGTGTCAATACACCATTCGTGAATAACTATGGATGGCTCCATAAACCGAGCAATCTGATGGCTCCACAGCAAAACCGGCATACAGATCACATTTCTTTATTTTTATTTCTCCAATCTTAAAATTGAATGCGGGAGACCACAAATAACATAAATAATTGAAACGAGATGGTCAGTATAAACTCATCTTTAAGAAGAAAAAAATACAATAACTGTCATAATCAAGCAAAACAACCCAACATTTTGTGCTGCATTTATGTGCAAATTAGTCCGAATAATTTTTTTTTCCTTTGGAGAATACATAAAAACTAGTATTAATACCCATGTACTACATGGATGTTGAGTTAATGAATATATGTGTAAAGTTATTTATGTCTAATACCAAATCTAACTCCAGAGCAAAAATAATATAAAAACAACATCGCGAAACATAGATTTTCGTCATGTCAGCATCCGAAGCATGAGAATCTGCCACATAGGCTCAACCCGTTTTGAATTAATATATAAGGAGGGATATACTTAAAGCTATTAGTGATACGTTGTATCCCCACATATTATATCCGAATTTAATATAATTTTGAACACTCTCTTTATTTAAACAGAGTGATCGATCATGCTTCATAC